CCCAGTGGGAGACAAATGGGCTTCTCCACTCATCTCCTTGATGCACTCCTTACATAAGATCAGACACTCCCCAGACCTGAACAGAACTCTTCTTTTTTAATTCTCAACCTCGAGGCCCCTCCTGGAGGAGCCTGAGCCTGGATCTCTGGCTCAGCCTTGCTGCTGGGACCAACCTGGCTCTCTGCCTTGGACACTTTCCTCCTTGCCCCTTGGCGATTGGCACCTCCTTTCCTCCAGACTCCCAACAAACAGGCGCCTTCAGCTCCTCTGTACTCCTCATTCGTTTCTCCTGGCTTTGGCCAGGAGAAACATCTTGGGACATTGGCAAGGGCACTTCTCCAGTTCAAATCCCTGCTCCGACCCCCTGTGACTGGCTGAGGTGTAATAAGTACCTGCTGCGCTTGCACATGAAGAGCGGGAGCTGCCTGGGGACCGAGGGCCTTCCTGAGTTTCCCAGCGAAGCCAGAGCCTGTACCAGCAGCCTGAAGCACTGTCCTTCCTCTGAAGGATCACTGGTGGCTGCAGGCCTGGTTGACTCCAACATGGCCCTGAGCCTGGGGCCTTGGCAGGACAGGTTGCATGGCAGGTATCCCCTGAGTCTCATGGCTACCTTTACCTGGCAGTTTGGTTCCCTGGATCCTGGGTATTTACTTACTCTGTGACTGAGGGATGGCCTGGGTGCCAGGCTTCATGGCCAGTGGGAGGGTGGCTGTCCTCAAGGGTGGGGGTGCGGAGGATGGAGACCAGGTGGTATCTGAAAAGCCAAGGACTTCTCACCTGGTCCTGTGTCCCTGGCACAGTGGACTGGAGAGACCAGACAGGCAGGTACAGGAGGATGGGGCTTCCTGGACTTTCTTCTGCGTTTGGATGTATCACTATGCTGGAACCGACCTATCTCAAGAATAACCAACCGGGCCGGGTGCGGAGGCTCCCAGCACTTTGGGAGACTGAAGTGGGCGGATCACTTGAAGTCGGAAGTTCGAGACCAGCCTGGCCAAAATGGTGAAACCCCATCTCTACTAAAAATACAAAAATTAGCCAGATGTGGTGGAGTATGCTTGTAATCCCAGTTACTCAAGAGACTGAGGCAGGAGAATTGCTTGAACCTGGGAGGTGGAGGTTGCAGTGAGCTGAGATTGAGCCTGGGCAACAGAGCAAGACTGTCTCAAATAAATAAATAAATAAATAATAACCAATTGATTGATGGCTTTTTTCTTTTCTTTCTTTCTTTCTTTTTTTTTTTTTTTTTGAGACAGGGTCTCCTTTTGTCAGCCAGGTTGGATTGCAGTGGTACAATCTCAGCTTACTGCAGCCTTGACTGCCCAGGCTCAAGTGACCCTCCCACCTCAGCCACCCAAATAGCTGGGACTACAGGCGCTAATTTTTGAATTTTTTTTTTTTTTTTTTTTTGAAAAATACAAAATACGAGTTTTCACCATGCTGCCCAGGCTGATCTCCAATTCTTGGACTCAAGTCATCTGCCTGCCTTGGCCTCCCAAAATGCTGGGATTACAGGTGTGAGCCACTGCACCAGGCCAACTGACGGTCTTGAGACAATGTTCACAGCCAGGGTTTGAGCTAAGCCTGGTGAAGATGCTAGACTCTGCTGGAGCTTAGACAATCGTACTGCAAAACCAAGGCCTCAGAAGGGAAAGTTTTCCCCCGATCTCCTGCCCTCCTATCTCTCAGTCCCATCTGCCCCAAGGCTAGCCATACAAACTCAATCCTTTCCCAAGGGGCCATAGAAACCAGAACCCATTCTCCCCAAAGCCAGGCAGAAAACCTAAAAGTATTACTTGAATTTTCTCCCAGCCTTGTGTAAGAACTGGCCATAACAAAATGATCTGATCTACCTTGTTTGCCGTCAGTCATGAGACCCCCATTCCAGAGATCTTGCCCCATGCCCCAGAGGAAGGAATGCTGCTCAGAGAGGCCGAGAAGAATCTAGACAGACAGGCCTTGCTGGGTTCCCCACACAGTCTGTCAGCATTAAATCTGACCCTTTTGTCCAGTCCTATTTCTACAAGGCTGTCCATCTTTGTTGAAACTAAGCATGAGGACAGTTTCCTCTGTACCCCTGGGTCTTCATTCTGAAGGCTCCCATGTGTATACATTAATGTGTATGCCTTTCTCCTATTAATCAATTTGCCTCATGTGAGTGTTCAGCGAACCTTTAGGGGACCAAGGGCCTTGGTCCCTACAACTTGCAGGCCCGGCCTCAGCCAGACTGTCCCCAAACTCACAGCCAGAGCAGTCTCAGCTACTGCATGGTAATAGGAAATATACCTGCTCACTCTTCTTTCCAGCTCTAAACTTCCCTCTCAAAAGCCCCTATCAGGGGCTGTTGCTTGAAATTGGCTGTACTTAAAACAGTCCTCTCCAGTGATCACATTTATAAACCATTCTGAATACAATGGCCTAAGCCAAATCTTAATGTATCCCAAAATGCTCCTGATGGTGACAGGTCTACTCATTCATGTGCTGGGAAGGATTTGAGAAGAAAAAACCTGCTCCCTGCCTCCAGGACCTAACCAAGAGTAGTGGATGTGTCAACAGAACTGCACTCGGCAGGATGAAGATGGGGACTCCGGCATGTGGCTGTTTAGCATGTGTGGTTTCCACTCTTCAAGAGGGATCCCTATGGTCCACGACGGGCAACGTGAGCCACAATGCAAGGCCAGTGTGGGAGAGCATCCACAGATCCACAGATGAGCCCAGGTGACAGTGACTGTCTAGGAGGATGCCCTTGGGGTTTTGATGGGATGATTCTTTATTGTGTGGTCTGTCTTGTGCATTGCATTCTTGACCTTCACTAGTAGCCCACAGCATCCCCCAGTCACTGTGACAACCAGCAGTGCCCACACATTTCCCTGGGGACGGGAGGCTAGTTTTCACTGCTGCCCGGGGGATCCAGCTGCCAGGATCCACTGCAAGTCAGCGGCTTGAGCCAGCTGAGAGTTCTCTCTCCTGGCCACTTGAGCATTCATTCTGGTGAGGAGGTGGTGATGGGGGAAAAAGGGGAGAAGCAGAGGGTGAGCACAGGTCCTGGCTGCAGACCCACAGCCAACTGGAGGGGGCATGTGCTGTTTTTAGCTGCCCAGTGTCCATTCCCAACCCTTTTGGTAACAGGTTACCCACACTGCAGTTGGAGAATCATTTTCTTCCCTGCTCCGTGCTCACGGTTTCTGTGGATTTTATCCTCATGTTCCAAAGGAGGCTGTGCAGCTCCAACCTGGCCAAACAGCCCCCTGCATTTTCCTGGGCACAGTGATGGCTACTAGGAGGGACACAGGACCTAGTCAGAGCTGTGATGCCTTTTGCTGCGGGGAGACGGGCCGGCTCACCCTCTCTGCTACACTTGACCTCTGTAGGCTGGGAGCTGTTGCTGCTGCAGCTAGAATGGAACTAACTCTGCTATAGAGAGAGGGAAACGGCCCGTGCCCCTGGAGCAAACCACATCTGAACCAGAACTCTCTCCTGACTTTTATAGGAGCTAATACATTCTCATTTTGCTTAAGCCTAGTTTGGGTTAGGTTGTCCAACATTTACAATAAAGGGGGACCTCAATACAACAGAAAAAGGAAGTGTCTTCAGTCCAGAAGCTGCAGCCATGGAGTACCCAGTCCCTTCCACCATGTCTATAGGTCCTTTCATTGTCCCTGCAGGACAGGACCACAACATGACCCCACGCAACTCCCACACCTGTTTCACAAAGGAAATCCTGGGACTGGGGGGTGGAGAATGGGCTCCAGCCTGGCCCATCCTGCCCAATCACACCAGTGCTGTTGCGGGTAAACCAGCTCCCTGCCTCCCCAATGGCTGCCCTGCTAGGTCCCAGTCTAACTAATTCTTAGAGGCATAGCAGGTCACCTGGGCATGGGTCTGTGGATGCCTCACAGGCATTCAGCATTGTCCTCCCTCCACCCCTACACCATATGCCGCTGTCACCGCTGTCAGCTGTCACCGTTCCAGTGCATGTGGGCTGACCCCCACCTCGCATCTGCATTTCTTTGCCTGGGGGTTTCCTCTCCAGAGTGGGACAAAAGTGTGGAGGAATTAACCACCTCCCTCCTCACAGCCTTTCTCCAAGACCAACAGGTTACAAATACCTCAGCTCCCTGTCAGGTGGGCTGACTATGCTGTGTGGTGTGTGTTCTGCCTTCTCCCATCCCATGACGCCCCAGCAGGATCAGGCTTCAGCTGCCCTCAATGGCCACTGCATTAGGACTCACCAGTACTGGCTGTCCTCCCTTCTCTGGTGGTTCCTTTTTATTTTGTTTGAGACAGGGTCTTGCTATGTCGTCCAGGCTGGAGTGCAGAGGTGCAATCATAGCTCACTGCAGCCTTGACCTCCTGGGCTTAAGCCATCCTCCCACCTTGGCCCCCCAAAGTCTTGGGATTATAGGCATGAGCCACCAAGCCCAGTCTCCTTCCCTCGTTTACACTCCTCTCCCCTACTGGTGTTTGCTGGGATCACCTTGAACTAAGATTTCGAATCGGCTGTTCAGGAGCTGGAGGTAAAATCCCACTGGGCACTGGCTGGGTGTAGCCACATCACCAGCACTAACCACAAGGCTGCATGGCAGGCCACTCCCCATCACAGGTGACCCTAAAAGAACCTATTTCTACAGATGGTGTTCCTGGGCACAGGGCCTCTGTCCTCTGGGGTGCAGGCCTGGAGGCGAACCGGTACATTTCTCCTATTCCCACTAACTGGGAGTACCCTGGGACACAGGTGCAGATGACTAATTACGTTAACTATTGAGTTAAGCTTTATAATCCCTTCATTTAGAGTGAGAACATCTAAAGCAAACACTGTGTTCTGTGAGTGTGTGCAGAGAAAGCTGCTCCACCGGGGGTCTGTGGCTCTGAACAGGAATGACAGGCACCAATTCTGCTTGACCTGCGGCTCAAAAGGTCACCGGGGTCCCCACACCTCCCTTCCTAGCCATTTGCCAAGTCCAGCTTTTATGTCTCTAAAGTAAAATGTGCTAAAGAAACAGAATTCTTTTTTTTTTTCTTTTTTTAAATTTTAGTGACAAGACAGGTCCTTTGATGGAAACTGGATCTGTAAGAAAAACAAGGACAGACCAATCAGCTTAGACAATACCCCATGTGACCTGGAATCCTGTGGCTTTCCAGTTTCACAGCCTCACAGGTGAGGGTTCAGCAACTATGATCCTTCTGTGGAGAAATAAATTATTTAGGATTCAAATTTCTTCCATTCCTTGCATCCACTCTTTCTTTCAGCCACACACCTCAGGCTGTAACGCCTTTTGCCAGGCGCCTGGCCAGGCTTGGCTCCTGCTCATCTCATCGGTGCCAGCGCCTTCCCTGGGTCCCCTGCAGCTACGATGGAGTCTCACCCCCCAAAAGCTACATTGCAGTGATTTGACCACATTCAATGCCCAAAATGGCTGGGAAAGAAGTCCTTTGCTTTCAGGGCCTCATCCTCAGCTGAGGAAGATGCCAAGGGAGAGGTTTACCAAACTTTAGGAAAGAATATTCTAGAAGCATCTTTCCCTAAAAAGGAAAGACGCCACTGTCGTCAGATGGTTCTTCACTCCCTGGACAGTGAAGGATGTCAAACTGCCTGTTAATTAAGAGCTGAGCCTACAAGCTCAGCACGACTTAATGTACCCCCATGATGCACTCCCATCGCCCTCCCTCACCGTGACTCTCATACAGGTGCCCAGGAGACTTTCATTGGCTAAAGTTCTTCCCTGGGCAGTTAAAAAGTAAGCTAATATTCTTTTTTTTTTTTTTTTTTTTTTGAGACGGAATTTTGCTCTTGTTGCCCAGGCTGGAGTGCAATGGTACGATCTCAGCTCACTGCAACCTCCGCCTCCCGGGTTCAAGCGATTCTCCTGCCTCAGCCTTCCGAGTAGTTGGGATTACAGGCATGCACCACCATGCCCTGCTAATTTTGCATTTTTAGTGAGACAGAGTTTCTTCATGTTGGTCAGTCTGGTCTTGAACTCCTGACCTCAGGTGATCCACCCATCTCGGCCTCCCAAAGTCCTGGGATTACAGGTGTGAACCACTGTGCCCGGCCTATTTTTTAAAATTTTTTGAGACAGGGTCTTGCTCTTTTGCCCAGGCTGGAGTGCAGTGGTGTGATTTTGGCTCACTGCAAGCTTGGCTTCTTGGGTTCATGCCATTCTCTTGCCTCAGCCTCCTGAGTAGCTGTGACTACAGGTGCCCGCCACCACGCCCAGCTAATTTTTTTGTATTTTTAGTAGAGACAGGGTTTCACCATGTTAGCCAGGATGGTGTTGATCTCCTGACCTCGTGATCTGCCTGCCTCGGCCTCCCACAGTGCTGGGATTACAAGCGTGAGCCACCGCACCCGGCCTTTTTTTTTTTTCTTTCTTGAGACAGGGTCTCAAGAGTTCTGTCACCCAGACTGGAGTGCCTTGGTGCAATTATGGCACATTGCAACCTCCAACTGCTGAGCTCATGCAATCCTTCCACCTTAGCCTCCCAAATAGCTGGGATTACAGGCATGTGCCACCATGCCTGGCTAACTTTTTAATCTTTTTTCTTCTTCTCACTCTTTTTTTTTTTTTTTTTTTTTTTGTAGAGACAAGGTCTTGGTATGTTACCCAGGCTGGTCTCAAACTCTCAGGCTCAAGTTATCCTCCTGCCTGGGCCTCCCAAAGGTCTAGGATTACAGGTTTGAGCCACTATTCCCAGTCAAAAAGTAAGCAAATTTAAAGAAAAATATTAAGTGATTTTACAGGTATCCAAAGTCACTGATTTAACAAACGGTAATGATGATAATGATGATGATAATGGTGATGATGGCAACTACCTCCAAGGGTGATGGTTGTAAAGATTGAGGGGATGTGCAGAATTGCCAGGTGCAGGGTCTGGTGATAGAGGTGGGTGGTGGTATGATGGTGGTGGTGATGATGATGGTGATGATGGTGATAATGATGATGATGATGGGGGTGGTGATGATGGTGATGATGATGATGGTGATGGTGATGATGATGGTGATGGTGATGATGGTGGTGATAATGATAGCGATGATGATGATGGCAGTGGTGATGATGGTGGTGGTGATGATGATGATGGTGATGATGATGGTGATGGTGATGGTGGTGATGATGATGATGGTGATGATGGTGATGGTGATGATGGTGGTGGCGGTGGTGATAATGGTGGTGGTGGTGATGATGGTGATGGTTATGATGGTGATGGTGGTGGTGGTGATGATGATGGTGATGATGGTGATGGTGGTGATGATGATGGTGATGATGGTGATGGTGGTGATGATGATGGTAATGATGATGGTGATGGTGATGATGATGGTGATGGTGATGATGATGGTGGTAGTGATGATGGTGATGGTGATGATGATGGTGATGGTGGTGATGCTGGTGATGGTGGTGATGATGGTGATGGTGATGGTGATGATGATGATGGTGATGATGGTGGTGATGATCATGGTAATGCAGATGATTCTGATGATGGTGGTGATGATGGTGATGGTGATGAGGATGATGGTGATGGTGATGGTGATGATGGTGGTGATGATGATGGTGGTGATGCTGGTGATGGTGGTGATGATGGTGATGGTGATGATGATGGTGATGGTGATGATGGTGGTGGTGGTGGTGATGGTGATGATGATGATGGTGGTGATGGTGGTGATGATGGTGATGGTGATGATGATGGTGGTAATGATGGTGATGATGGTGATGGTGATGATGGTGGTGATGATTGTGATGATGATGATGGTGATGGTGGTGATGATGATGGTGGTGATGATGGTGATGGTGGTGGTGGTGATCATGGTAATGCGGATGATGGTGATGATGATGGTGATGACGATGATGATGGTGGTGGTGATGATCATGGTAATGCAGATGATGGTGATGATGAATGATGATGGTGATGATGGTGGTGGTGATGATGATGGTGATGGTGATGAGAATGATGGTGATAATTGTGATGGTGCTGATGGTGGTGGTATTGCTGGTGATGTAGCTTTGTTGAGTGCTTATTCTGTGCCAGGAACTGTGCTAAGTATTTTACATGCATTTTTTCCACTCAATCTCCCCAACAATCCAATGAGAGCTGTGCTATTATTATCTCCATTTAATGAAAAGAAAATGAGACATCAGGAGTTAGGGAACTTGCCCCAGGCCTCAGAAATACTGGGTTTTGAAGAGGCCTATGACTCAAGCCTGCCTGCCTCCAGAACTCCAGCTCACAACCATTAGGTTCTGCTGCAAGGAATTTTGAAGAGAAAATGCTTTAACTCGGGTGCATTCGTCACGCTGCCAATGGCCAGCATCCACCCACCCCTGTCACCAGGTCCTGTGCCTGGCACTTCTGCACATCCCCTCAGTTAATCCTCAAAACCATTGCCCGTGGAGGTAGTTATTATTCTCCCCACTAGACATGACACTGTCAGAGAAATTAAGAAACATGTCTCTAACACCCACCTATCAGGCAGCAGAGTCAAGAAACGAGCCGGCAGCTCTAACTCCAAAGCTGGCATCCTTCCCACCACATCCATGTTGACAACAGCAACAGGACCCCCCAGCAGTGAGCTCTGTCCTCTAACACCTTATCTCACCTCTCCCAACAGGCTCAAGAGGAAGGTACTGTAATTTTCCCTATTTACAGATGAGGAAACTGAGGTTCTTGCCACTCAGGAAATGCCTCAGGAAATAGCATAGCAGCTAAGGAACTACTATGTCCTCTGCCACAGACATGGGACATGGCATCACAGAGCACATGAAGGGATGGTAAGCTGTCCCTGGAGTTCACCTTCTGGGTTTGGCTTTTGAGATATTCTGAACATCTTCTCCCAGTCCCATCACCTATCAACTCTTGGGGCTAGTGGAGGTCTGGAAGTAGGGTGAAATGCTTCTCATTACCCCCATGCTATCATCCCCATTGTCACTTATTAAGCATTTGCTAAGTGTGGATGTGGCAAGGGGATCATTGTGGAAGTTGTTGGCGCCCCCCCAGACCCTCACACCTCAAACCCAATGTCTTCTTCAAGCCTCACAATAACCCTACAAGGTAGGTTCTATCATTTCACTCTATTGAGAGAGAGGAACCTTGGGAAATAATATATTACGCCCACTGCAAAGGCAAGGAAAACCGATGATTATCCCCTTTCTGGGGCTGGTGCATCCACTGCTCAACTCCTGCGAGTTGTGAGTGTGCTGCTAACAGCTCAGAGCTGCCCCTCCTCTAGGGAAGTGCCCTCAGCCCAAAGGGAGCTGCTCTTTCCACAAAGACATGCAGTCCCTACCCAACCCTTAGAGCCAAGCACTGACAAGGAGGAGCACCAGAGGGCAAGCCTCTCCCCTCTGCTGAGACTAACTGTGTTGTAATTCTTGTTCCAGGGCCCCCACAGGGTCAAGCTGAGGTCTGGCCTCCTCCTTCTCAGCTCCTTCCCTTGCCTCCTCTTGCCTCCCTCCCTCCCTCACTCCCTGAGAGCTCCTCCTCAATAAACCCTGTCCATCCAACCCCAGTCTCAGGCTCTGCTTCCAGGGGCGAGGGAAGATGGCTGTGTGAGCCATGCCCCTTGCCCTCAGGGATCTTGCAGGACAGCTGGGAGACAGGCCACAGGCAAACAACAGCATCATCCACAACACAGGAGGCACAGGTGGAGAGGACAGGGGTTGAGAAGATGGAAGACATCATTGAAGTTGGGAAGATGGAGGAAGGTTTCATGGAAGAAGGGGGCTTTATGGGTGACGGACCAGTAGGACTGGGTAGGAAACAAGCTTTCAAGGCAGGGAGAAAGGTCCGAGATGGGTAGGAACCTTTGTCCCCATCCCTCCTATTTCCTCTCGTCCAGGGTCCGTGACCAGGGAAACCATCCTAGGGCAGCGGAGGTGGGGGCTCTGTTCAGATGATTATAATAATGAGTCTAGCATCTGAGAGCATCAGGTCTTCCCTAGAGGGCCATGCTGGCTGACTCTGAGGCCAGGAGGGGGTCACTCCACTGTCAAGCTTCTCTTGAGAGGCCGGGGCTTGCTCCACCTGAAAAGACCACCTCCATTCGAAGGGACAGAACGCTCCACATACCTGCCGGACCGTGGGCCTAGGGGCTTGTTCACAAGGATTCAGTGATGTAGTAGGCAGCTCCTAGAGCCCCCAGAGCCACAGCCACAGTTCCGAGGGCTTGGAGGACACGTGTTACGATGACTGGAGGGTTTTCTTGAAGGTTTTCTGTAGAACAAAGCAAAAGTGAGGGTGGTGGGAAGCTGGGCTTCGGTGCCTCTCTACGAGCAGGAGAAAGTGGAAATTAAGTGGCCCTCTCAGGATTGCAGGAATACCCATCTTCCCCCTCTCCAAACTCCTTTTAAGAGAACATTTAATTCTTCCCACCCTTCCAAAAAGTCCCTGCCGAAAGACCCCTGAGGATCGGAGGGTGAGCTGGCCTGGGATGCCAGCTGCCCTGAACACTCAGAGGGGGACCAGGTTAGGAAGGTGGTCAAGTCTGCTGTGAGCCAGGCCTTGTGCTAAACACTTCACACCCGGTGTCTTCTTCAAGCCTCACAACAACCCTATGAGGTAGGTTCTATCACTTGACTCCATTGAGAGAAAGGAACCTTGGGAAATAATATATTACACCCACACAAAGGCAAGGAAAACAGATGATTAAGGCAATAATTGTGAGGAGGGCATTCAAAAAATGCAATACCCATTTTGATAAAAATCCTACAAAAATAAGGATTCTTGTTTAATGTGAATGTGGATTGAAAGCCAAAAGCCAACATTACACTCTGTTGAGAAAAGCATGCGGGTGCTAAAAGTAGAACAGCATTAAAACTGTATGTCTTGTCCTGACCAGACATGGTCCCTGTCCCTCCCTGCTCTCTTTCCTGATTCTGAGCCTTGTGTTTGCCTTTTCCTGCATCTAGATTGCTCCCGCTTTTCATCTTAAGCCAGAGAGGGCTTCAAGATCCTTTTGGACTCGGCTCACAGGCTGCTGACAGGAACCTTTCAGAGGTTCCTGTTGGAGCCTGTTCCTGTTGGAACCTTTCAGAGGTTCCTGTTGGAGCCTCTCCCAGAGGACACACGGCTCTTTGCATCTTGCATCTTGGTTTCTAAATGCACGGGTCTTAGCTCTCCATGCAGACTGCAACAATTTTAGGGGTAAAGTTCCCTGTTCTGGTTTCCCTCACAGTCCCCCATGTCTTCTGCATAGTAAGTTTCGCTCAATAACACTTGCTGGTTTTAAAACGATAAGAACCCATGGCACAATTTGGCCATGGATGGATGGAAGTACTAAGTGTATGGGCGGGGTGTGGCTAACGGTGGCAGGTAGACCTTTCCTTGACGGGGCTTACTGGGTGGCGGAGTATTTCTGGCTCCAAGTATGTTTTCCCCACACGCCCCGGTATCTATTTGCTTCTCTCCATATGTAGGAGAGATGGAGTTTTTCAGCTCCAGAAAGGAGAGGGGATTGGGTAGGGAAGAGGATGGGAAGTGGAACAGGACGAGGATGGGGGCTGGGGGGCTCAGCTCCTGGGGTGGGGGTATGAAGTCGCCAAGTGGAAGGGCCTCTATCATTGAGATCTGTAAGGCCCTCAGGTGGTACAGATGGCAACCCTTCTCCCGGCCCATGCATGTAACCTAGCAGCGCCAAAGACGGGAACATCTCCAGTCTGTTCCCGGCAGGGATAGGGTCTTCCTATGAGGGCAGTGGCAGCCATGACACTGCTCCTGGTGGCTTTGTGGGAAGAGGAAGGAAGGACAGATACTATGGGTGATGTCATGGGGGCTGCCACCAACAGACCAGCCTGGGGCACACGTCGCCTATGGGGACCCCCAGAAAGAGCTCAGCACACTCTGAAGGGGGCTGAGGTCTTGCTATTGTGTGGAGGAGGCATATGAATTACAAGTAGTTTTTTATCATTAAATTCTAGGCGACATTCATAGGCAGATCAGGAACCTAAGGCCCCAGCCTAAGACACAGGCCACTGAGGGGCCACGGAGGTGCACGGCCAAACAGCATTTAAACACAAAGGCCCTGAGCGACTCGGAATCTCTGAAGGGCTGAGAGGGAGAGTGTTCTGAGGAGGGGAGGGCATCTCTGGAGAAAATAAAAAGGAAGCCACTGAGGAGGCAAATCCCAGTGAGGAAGAAAACTGGCACCTCTCTGTACGGGTGGAGAGGGTACCCAGTGGGTAGGGCTGGTCAGAAAGGGCCCTGCCTGCCAACGTCCAGGAAGTGGCCAAAGGAAAGAGGAAAAGGCTTTCCTTCGGCCTGGGATTCCCAAGAGGAATGATACATGATTGCTAATAAGGTCTGGGGGCAGAGCCTGGCCCTGGGAACTGTGTGCCCTGAGGTTCCAGCCCCTCACGCTTGGAACCTGTAGAAGGTGAGCAGGTTGGGGAGTCCTCTCCCTGGCGCCATCTGCCAGTCCCGAGGCAGAAGGACATCGAAGATGCGGCTATGGCACAGCCCCAGACGACGCCAGCAAGCAGAGCTGCAGGGGCAAGTGGCACAGGAGCAGGAATGCGGGCCGGCGCGAGTCAGAGGCCCTGTGGGGACAGAAGGAAAGAGGTGAGGGAGGTACCTGCTCTGGGAGGTGGGGGCAGGGGAGCCTGGAACACAGTCTGAGAAGGCCCCCCAAAACAGTAGCAGCTGCAGGATTACCAGGGCAGATCCTGGATTTTTTCCAGGCATCATTGAGGATTTGGGAATGAACTACCCAAGGAAGGCAGTTCTCCCACAAAATGTTCTCTAACCAAACAGAAGTGAAGACTGACTGCATGAGAAAATGGCTGTTTTATACTGGTGCTACCTGGGAGTAGCAACAACAACCGTGATGATGATGGAGGTGGTGCTGATGGTGTCATGGCTTACGCCTTCAGGATGCTTTGGACTTAGCGTGCCCATCTCATTTAATTTCACAGTAATCCTGTAAAGGGGATACTGTTGCTCTTGTTTTACAAATAAGGAAACTGAGGCTCAGATAATTTAAGGGATATGCCCTTCTGGGGAGTAGATTGCAGAAGTTGGCTTTCTCAACTCAGGCTTTCTCACGTTTAATTCAGTGAAAATGGAATTTCAGGTGACTGCCCACCCCAGGAGAGGCTGCACTGGGATTCCTGGAATTGGAGCTGCCATGTTCCATTGATCTAGAGCATAGTGATCCATCCGGAAGACAACCACAGCTCCAGTTTCCAGTCCCGATCTTATCTTCTGTTTCTGCCCTCCTCTGGTATGGATCCCAGCAGAATGTAGATGATACCCTCTGTGGTCGGGCAAGATAATTTCTGGCTGGATTATTCCCTCCTGTTTCCTATCTGTAGCCCTGTGGCTTCTTGACAGAGCTACAGATTCTTCTGACCCTAAGCTGCGTGAAACGGAGAGTCAACCTGGCAGACTCGGTACACTTTCTGCTTAGACTTGCCCATGACACATACTTTCCCGGAATGAGGAGAGGGGATTCTAAAGGCAAGACTTGTCTCTTTTTTTAGTTACAGAAAAGTTTTTAAATTGAGACATCATTCCCAGGCAATAAAGTTCACCCTTTTAGAGCGCTCAGTGGTTTTTAGTATATTCACAAAGTTTTGTGGCCATCACCACTAATTTCAGAACATCTTCATTTCCCCAAAAAGAAACCCTATCTCCATGAGCAGTTACCCCCCATTCTCCAGTTCCCCCAGTTCTTGGCAATACATTTGCTTATTCTGAACATTTCATGTAAATAGAATCATTCGATGTGTGGGTTTTTGGAAGACTGGACTCTTTCACTTAGCCAAATGTCTATAAGGTTCATCCATGTTGTCCCATGTATCAAATGGGACATCATCTCTTTTTATTGTCAAATAGTATTTCACCATATTCATTGTACTGTGGTATTTCATACCACGTTTTGTTTATCCATTCATCAGCTGATGGACATTTGGGTTGTTCCCACTTTTTGGCTGTTACAAATGCTGCTGCTTTGAGCATTTGTGTACAAGTTTTGGTGTGCTTCTAATATGCTTAATAATATGCTTCCAATTCTCTTGGATATATACCAAGAAGTGGGATTGCTGGGTCATAAGGTAACTTCATGTTCCTCTGAGGAACCACCAGACTGTTTCCACAGCAGCTGCACCATTTTACATTCCCACCTACAGTGTATGAGGATTCCAGCTTCTCTACATCCTCACCAACACTTGTTATTGTCCATCCTTCTGATTATACCCATCCTAGTGGAAGACTGGCATTTTCTTGAGCTACAATATTTCTGTACACAAAAAGGCTTGGATTTTAGAAAATGGCATGCTTTACACGCAGGCCCTTATCCTGCATCTCCAACATTCCTTTCTACTGCAGAGAATTCCTTTGGAAGAAGTATAGGGTGTCCGCTGTAACCACTGGTGAGCCACCACCGTTTCTTGCTTTCTTGCTTTGCCTCTTCAATGGGCCAAATTCCTCTCGGAGTGTGAGTCACATGTGATCATTAAAAGACTTGGGAATGGAAAGTTTTGCTTTCTACTAGTTCTGAAGACCATAACCCGGAAATGTTTCTCTCAGTGGCTGATGATCACAGTCTTTACAACATATAGTATGGTGCTCAAAATCATTATCATATGTCAAGAAGGGATTGATTCCTGGCCATGGAAGGATCATTGGCGTGGCATGCCTTGCAGTTAGCACTCTCATCTCCATCTCTTCTTTCTTTTATGCTCACACAATCCCGGGGGGTAAACTGTGGCCCAGGGAGTGTGGCCTGTTCGAGGCTGTGGAGCCATGGGCACTGGCTCACAGCAGATCCAGGAGCTGCTCGGACAAAGATGTTCTTCCTCTTGTGGAGACTCCTAGGCCTCTTGGAATGGAAAGGTCAGTGCTGTGGTTTAGAGTGAGGGTTCTGGAGTCAGAATAGAGCGGGTTTCCCTTCTCAGGGCTACCAGCCTCTGCTCAGGAGCAACTTGTTTGACTCCTATGAGCCTCAGTTTCCCCATCTATAAAATGGAGATGATATGGAAGAACTTTTATAGGATTGTCACATGTGAAAATTAAGACACTTGAGCTGAATGCTAGGTACACAGTAAATGCTTAGTGATAATGTTAGTTTGCTATCACCATTATTGTTAGCAGTATAAACCAGCCCACCTCCTGAACTCCACTTGAATTCCCTCTACACAATCCAGTGCTTATTCAGACACTGTTTGGCTCCCAAGAAGATGGGGAACCACTTTTCCTGACAGCCATTCCATTTTCAGACAGAGCTAATTGTTGGGAAGTTTTTTATGTTGAGCCAAAGTCTGTCTGTCGCTAATGTCTTCCATGGGTAAGGTTGTTAATTTAGCAAATAAAAATACAGGATGCCCACACAATATTTGGGAAACACATACTAAAAATATTATTTGTTGTTTAGTAAAATTAAAATTTAACTAAGAGTCTTGTATTTTGTCTGGCTATCCTATCCCTGGGTCTGTATGTGTCTGTTTTCACACTGCTGATAAAGACATGTCTGAGACTGGGCAATTTACAAAGGAATGAGGTTTGTTGGACTTACAGTTCCACGTGACTGGGGAGGCCTCATAATCATGGTGGAAGGTGAAAGTCACATCTCACTTGGCGGCAGACAAGAGAAGAGAGTTTGTGCAGGGAAACTCCCTTTTTAAAAACCATTAGATCTCATGAGATTTATTCAGTATCACGAGAACACCACGGAAAAGACCTGCCCCCATGATTCAATCACTTCCCACTGGGTCCTTCCCACAACACTGGGAATTCAAGATGAGATCTGGGTGGGGACACAGCCAAACCATATCAGGCCCTTAGACTTCTCAGGACAATAAGGAACAAGTCTATTCACATCTTCCACCTGACAGACAGACATCCTCCAACTCCTTCAATCGGCTGTCATACACTAAATGGCCTCCCTGATCCCTCTCATCCTCCATCAACCTGGACTATCTTCCTTGGACTAGTTTGTCAGGCATCTTTTATAGCCCAAAATGATAGCTTGATGAGGACAGAATAAAGCAGGATCATCACCTCCCTTATTCTAAACCATATGCTTCTATTTATGCATCCTTGGTTTTTATTTTTTAGCAGTTGCATGGCACTGCTGATTCCTAGTGAGCAAGTATTACTATAGAACCAAGTTAAATGTTTATATGTATGTGTGGCTGTCTTCAATGAGACTCAGGATGATGAGAAATAACAAAACCCAGGAACCCTGGTCTCTTGGGTAGAAACAAAAACAAAAACCTTCACACTCTACAACACAGCTCCAGGATACACTTTAACCATGCATCACTATCCTACAAGAACCAGCCTCTGGGATGACCCGGAACTCCATCAGCAGGAAGGCTGGAACTGCTGAAGCTAGAAGACAGCCCACCTGCTTTCCTGGATTGAGGGGCTGCCTTCATGTTAGCATCTGGAGATAACAGGCAGCGAGAGGAGCGGCGGATTTCGGGTGCTGGAAGGGCTTGGGATGCTGGCTGCTGGGAGTTGGTTTCAAGGCTGGACTGCTGTGGTGTGGATTCAGGGCTAGGCTGCTGTGGCGTGGATTCAGGGCTAGGCTGCTGTGGTGTGGATTCAGGACTAGGCTCCTGTGGTGTGGATTCAGGACTAGGCTGCTGAGAGGTGGAATTGGAGCTAGCATGCTGGGAGGTGGAGTCTCGGTGGCGTTTGGCCTCTGACCTTTTCTTCTTGACCTTCTTCATAGTGGATCCTCCCAACCTAAGCGTGGACCTACATGGAGCTGCGTAATCTCCTGGCTCCCTCCTGGAGGGGCCGTTCGCCCTCTGCCCTAGAGGCCTGGCTCTGGCCTCCAACTGGACCCAGGCCCTACAGAGAACAGTGACCCACACCTCCTGTGAGGTCATAAAAGCCAGGGTGGCTCCTATGGCAGGGCTGCAGGGACAGTCTTCTCCACAGACACCAGCCTGGCATTCTCCCTTAGCCCAGGCCCTGGTCCTCACAGACCTGGTGATGCCTGGCCACGGGGCCCATGAGAGCCAGATCCTCATGCTTCTGTGAACAGAGCGCAGCCTTCAGTCACCTCTCTGCTGGCGTGTTCCTGGGTCCATGTGAGCCACCTGTTCTGCTCTAAGATACCCTGGATGTGACGCTCAGCTCTGTCACTGGCTTCCACATACCCCCTATTCCTAGACCTCAAAAATCCACGCTCCCCATGCATTCATCTTCATGTCAGCTTCCTGAAGATTTGGAGCTTCCTCGAAGGCTTTACCTCCCATGGGCCTGCTACCATCTCAGAGTAGCTTACCCCTTCCTGCAAAGCCTGCCCTCCCCCACTGTGGGAGGGGAGTTTGGGGGTTGATCTGACTTTTATAAGAACCTTTGCATTTGGCAAATAATTTTCCTTGAGAACATAACAGCTGTTCAGAAAACGAACATTTGTCTCAAACTCACGACGATGGCAACCACAGACCATCCCCCAAACCCCAACTGGTTGGGTTAAGCAGGTGACTGAATCTTTCTCTCAATTAATTAATGTGTTCATTAAATGTGATTTTTATTTTAGGATGGAAGAAAGAAAAGTATTTTTAAAAGACAGTCTAAAGCTTACACTGTGACTGCAACATAAAGTGTGTTCACCTCAGGAGACACTTCCGTCGCGAGTGCATCTCAGGTGGGTGAGTGTGGGACCGGCAAGTGCAGGAGCTCCTGCCCCAGGGAAGGTTTAGAGCAGACCCGGGCAGGTAAAAAGGGCTTCGGGCCACATGAAGTCAAACCTCAACCTGGTTTAAATCAGTGTTTTTCAACCTCAGCCCTGTTGACATTTTTGGGCTGAGTAATTCTTTGTTGTGGGGGATCATCCCGTGTATTGTGGGAAGTTTACCAGATCCCTGGTCTTTATCCAGTCTTTACTCCCCCCTACCCCAGGACAACCCAAAATGTCTCCAGATACTCCTAAATGTCCCCTAGAGACGGGTGGTGGGGGTGTGTGTGTCAAAATTGCCGCTGGTTGTGCCACGTTGGTGTAAATGAATCAGATAGGAGCAGACACATATAGGTGGAACTTCCTGGTAGCAATGAAAGAAATATTCCATTGTACCAGAAGAAGCCAAACAGGGCACAGAGAATGGGTCTTTGTCTTCCAGTAGAAAGATGGAGGAAGCACAGAGGGCAGGCCTAGGGAGGAGTAGGGAATTTCCCTGTGGCAGCAGTAAAAATATGGTGTGAATTCTTTAGTAAGAGTGGTCCCAAGAAGCAGAGAGAGGGCACCTGTGGAAAGAGGTTGTCCCAGAAGAATGAGGAAGAACGGCGCCTCAATAGCTCTTTGCTAGAACATCTTCCCTGCACCCGCTCCCTTCTTCTTCTTCTTCTTTTTTTTGTTTTTGTTTTTGCTTTCAGACAGAGTCTCACTCTGTCTCCAGGAGTGCAGCGGCCCTGTTTTGGCTCACTGCAACCTCCACATCCCGGGTTCAACTGATTCTCCTGCCTCAGCCTCCTGAGTAGCTTACAGGCATGTTCCAGCCTCCTGAGTAGACTACAGACATGCGTCACCATGCCTGGCTAATTTGTATCATTTTAGTAGAGACAGGGTTTTGCTCTGTTGGCCAGGTTGGTCTCGAACTCTTGACTTTAAGTGATCTGCCTGCCTTGGCCTCCCTGTGTTGGGATTATAGACATGAGCCACTGCGCCTGGCCCCACTGCCTTCTGCTTGAGCACCTGTTCCTAGTCAGGAAACCTGGCTCTTCCATAATACAGTCACAGCCCACTGCCCAGGACTTATCAGCCACCACTACTACCTGGGTCCAGCTCTAGCCAACTGTGAACACCAGCGGTCTCATGAACAGGCTGAACATTCCTGCATTTTCAGAAGCCCTTCTCCTCTATCACCCCTCTCTGTACATCTACCAAAACATTTTCTGGTCAAGCCCTATCTCAAGTGGATCCATCTTTTCATAAAGCCTTTCTAAGCTGCACACGGTGGCTCATGCCTATAATCCCAGCACTTTGAGAGGCTGAGACAGGATCACCTGAGGTCAGGAATTTGAGACCGGCCTGGCCAACATGGAGAAATCCTGTCTCTACTAAAAATACAAAAACATTAGCCGGGCATGGTGGCACACGCCTGTGGTCTCAGCTACTCAGGAGGCTAAGGCAGGAGGATTGCTTGAACCCGGGAGGTGGAGGTTGCAGTGAGTGGAGATCGTGCCACTGCCCTCCAGCCTGGGCAACAGAGCGAGACTCCATCTAAAAAAAAAAAACAAAAACTATCTTGAGATCTCCAACTGGAAGCCATCCTTCCCTCGCTGCTGAGCTCCAGGGCACCTCTTTGTATGAGACTGGTCATATTCTGAACGGCATTAGAATTATTTCTGTCTTTGTCTTCCCTCTCATTCCCCAACCCCAGATGGTGGAAACCTCAGAAGGCCACAGTCTAGAGTAGGGGCTCAATGCAAGCTGCGGGAACTGAATGAAGGTGAAGGTAGGAGGACAGAGAAAGCAGGAAGCTGCGATGGGGGCAGGTGGGCATGGGTGGTGGGGGATCAGGCACCTCCAAGGCTTCATCACTAAGGGGTTACTTTCAAAAATGGACTGGGACTTCTCTGGCCTCAGCTGCGGATCACCGTTGGACTAGTCCACGGGCAAGGGAGTTTCCTAACCAGGCGTGCCAGTCATGTGAAAATGCAGACTAGGTAGGGGAAGGGGATTGGAAATTAGATAGTCAGAATAAGGCCTTGAGGGGGTGAAAATTTCCTCCCAGAAGGTCTCTGATGGTTCTGGTGTCCTGGGCACCCAGAATAAGTGTGTCACCATTTGTCCTGAAGCTGACTTCTCTGAGCTGGATGGCACCCTGGACATCAACCGGCCCTTCACTTTCATGTCACACAGGAGGGACACTGGTCCATAGACAGGATGCCTGCTCTGGTCACCAGCTGGAGGGTGGCAGACCTTGGGTACCTAAGCTTTGGACTTTGCCACACAGAGCACTTCCTCAGTCCCTTCTGCTGCCCCTGGCAGGGTGGAGCTGGCAGGTAGGTACTGGACTTGGAGCTCCCTCAAGAGCTCACTGCCCAGGGACCTTAGACTGGCAAATTAATCTCATGGGCCACAGGCCTGGGCTCAGTAACACGAAGGGTCTCAAGGGTTGCGAAGGAGAATCCTGAAGTCAACCAGCTAGCTAGTCTGGTGGAGTTCTACCTGAGAGGGTTGCCATGAGGATCCAGGTGAAAAGTCCTTAGAACAGCTCCTGACTCACAAGAGGCAAGCTTTTAGTGTTGCTATTCTTTCCTGGAGAAGATTAAGAAGCAAGCAAGGGAGAGGACAATGTGGAGAGGAGGGAGTGGGGGCCCCGTTTCTCCAAAATCCCACATCAATACCTTACAAAAGCGTGACCCCAAGTCATGGGAACCAATGCCCCAAGTTGTAGGTGGGGCCAGTGACTGGGGGTCGTAACCCTCCGAATTCGAACACGTCTGACGCTGAGATTGTCCCAGTGAGCACACCGGGAGGCACTCTAGCTCCTCCCCACCCAAAACAGTACCCAAAACTCCTAGAGGCGCCAGGAGAGAGGCCGTGATTCCGGGGCTTTGTCGTCTACCCCGCGGGGCGGCAGGGTCGGGGTCCAGGGCTGCCTGTTTGAGCGTTCTCTGCCCCGGGGCTCCCCCCTCCCCGCGCCGACCCCTCACCATCGGTCTGCGTCTCCCGATCCACCAGGGAGACCCTGTGCGCTTGGCTGCCGGCGCGCTGGATGTCCAGGGTGCCCTCGGGGCGGCCGGGGCAGAACACGGCCGTGTGCACCTCGACGGCGGGGCTGTGCGGCGCGAGGACTCGGCTGAGCAGGGCCTCCATGCGGCGGCGCGCCTCGGCCGCCTCCTCCTGCCGCGGTTGCACCACGATCCCCACCAGCGCGGCGGGCGGGCGTCGGTCCCGGGCGCGCAGCTGTTGCAGGAGCAGCTGCAGCCGAGGCAGCTGCGTGAGGAGCGCCGGCGCGCGGCACAGCACCAGGAGCAGCTGCGCGCCCGGCTCGTGCGGGTTCTGCGGCGCCTGGCGCCCAGATGCTGTGTCCTCCGCCGCGGAGGCGGGGGTCCCAGGAGGGGCCCCAGGCGCCTCGCGCGGGTCCTCGGCCTTGGGCCCGGAGCACCGCGGCTTCTTGTTGCAGCGCTTGGACTTCGTGGCCGGGCAGTCGTCGCGGTTCATTGAGCTGTCGCCCGAGCGCTTGGGCCGCCGCGCGGTGCAGTTGCTGGCGCTGGTGTGGCCGCTCCTGGCTGCGGCGGACGAGGGCCCCGGGAGCTGATCGGCCTCGGCGTCCACCGGAAAGCTCTGCAGGCTCGGGCCGTCCTCATCCTGCTTCCAGAGCTCGCTGATCAGTAGCACCTGGCCGTGGCCCTCGACAGACTGGGCTGGAGCCTGTGGCTGCGCCTCCGCCTTCCTCTCCTGGGCGGCCCTGCAGGGCTGGGCCCCAGGCCGCTGCTCCATGTCCGGTCCGGCTCCCTCGCCCCTCTGGGCTCGGGCCTCGGTTGGGAGGGAAAAGCTGCCCTTCTCCGGAGCATGTCACAATACCCCTGAGCCCTACCTTTTCCTGTCCGTGGCCAAGCACCTCCGCCCCGCTATTCCTTGGAAATCTAATATATAGGAAGTTGCTGTTGGACGCTGGTATAACGCTGGCTGTGTTCAGTTTCTCCATTTTCTACTTCTGTGGTTTCAAAAGGTGCATCCTTTTATACCATGGATGAATCTTCGTCCCTAAGGCTCTAAGTAAGGCGAATTTTTATGCACCCGGGCATTTAAAAAGCAGTGGACCAGATCTCATTGCACCTGCAACTCTTGAGAATCAGCGAAGAAGAGTGGAGGCCTGGGTGGCTGGGCCCCGGCTCGGCCAGTCGGCTCTCTGGGTGATTTGGGCGCCAGAGTCTTGCGCTATTATAGTAGAAATGGGTGCTGTTGCAGGAGATGATTTTGGGTCCCCTTAGTTCCAGGCTTCTGTGGGTCCCAGTGGCCTGTCAAAACGCCAGGAAAGGTCCTCAGGAAAACAAGACAAAAAGCAGAGAACTCCTTTGCTGCCCAGCACGCGGGGTGAGCAGAGTGGCATGAGGAGGCAGCACAGAGGGACCCAGGTCACAGGTCACAGACTGGAAACCCAACGGTGGGGAAAGTTGTTCCCTTTTGTTATTTTTCTTAAAATGAGCTTTACCAAGTTACGCTAAATTATTTTTTAAATATAAACATTAAAGACTCTGAAAAGCAGGGTGTCAAACAGAAACCTCTGAGCTAGAATCCTGCTAAAAACTCCAAGATCCTCGGGCGCGGTGGCTCACACCTGTAAGTCCAGCACTTTGGAAGGCGGAGGTGGGAGGATTGCTTGAGGCCAGGAGTTCAAGACCAGTCTAAGCAACATAGTGAGACCCCCGTCTCTACTAAAAATACAAAAATTACTCAGGCGTGGTGGTGCACCTGTAGTCCTAGCTATTCCGGAGGCAGAGGCAGGAGAATTGCTTGAACTGGGGAGACAGAGGTTGCAGTGAGCCAAGATTACAGCCACTGCACTACAGCCTGGGTGACAGAGTGAGACTCTGTCTCAAAAACAAAACAAAACTAAACAAATCTGTTGGAGTGCAGTGGCACGATCTTGGCGCACTGTGAGCTCCACCTCCCAGGTTCAAGTGATCCTCCTGCCTCAGCCTCCCAAGTAGCTGGGACTACAGATGCCTGCCACTCCAGCCTGCTGTGGCAGACTTGGTCTAAAAAAAAAAAAAGAAAAGAAAAAGAAAGATGGATACTAGACTTTCATTCAAGATAAATCAGACCTGCCAACTTCACCATACAGGAATTGACCTTTCCACAGGTATACCCTAGTGTGGGAGTCTCAAGATTGAGATTACTAGGTTTCACTTGCGTCCGTGTGAAGAGACCACCAAACAGGCTTTGTGTGAGCAGTAAAGCTTTTTAATCACCTGGGTGCAGGCGGGCTGAGTCCGAAAGGAGAGTCAGCCAAGGGAGATAGGGGTGGGGCGGTTTTATAAGATTTGGGTAGGTAGTGGAAAATTACAGTCAAAGGGGGTTGTTCTCTGGCTGGCAGGGGTGGGGGTCACAAGGTGCTCAGTGGGTGAGCTTTTGAGCCAGGATGAGCCAGGAAAAGGAATTTCACAAGGTAATGTCATCAGTTAAGTCAGGAACAGGCCATGTTCACTTCTTTTGTGATTCTTCAGTTATTTTGGGGCATCTGGATGTATACGTGCAGGTCACAGGGGATATGATGACTTAGCTTGGGCTCAGAGGCCTGACACTAGGGGAGGTAGGAGGCCCTACCTGGGACCTGGGCTTGCTCTTTGCCTTCTATAAACTAGCTTTTATCAAAGTCCTAAACTGGGGAGTACCAGGAAGGAATAGAGGTTCCAGACTCCCAAAACATAGATTTGAACTACTCTGTCCCTCCTGACTGGGGAAAAGGAGCCCCAGTGTGCGTCTTGTTCATTGTAAGTTCAACCTGCAGTTGTTCAGTCACCGAAGTACCCTTGTACTAACTGTCCGACACATTGAACTACCCTTAATCAGCCCCTGGCACACTGAAGCCACAGAACGGGGAGAGGAGCAGAGAGAGGTGGTGGGGCAACAAGTCTCAGTGGGACATCAGGGAAGGGATGATCCAGGTGGTGGGGCTACCAGCCTCAGTGCGACCTCAGGGAGGGGACGATCAGGCTGGAGTTAAGCCATCCCTAGGGTTCCGTGGGTCCAGCCCTTGTAGGGGCTTTTTTTTGTGTATGGTGGGGTGGGGTGGGGGGAGACACTAAAGGTAACAAGTGGCACTAAAGGCAGAAGCTCTGTCAGCTGGTGTTCAGAATGAATACCAAGACTCCTGGGTGTACACTTGAAATGCCATGATTATATCTAAGTTGATGTAACAAAGAGATCCAGAGATACGTTGGCTTAGGAATATTTATTTCTTCAGATGTTGGTGGTTCTGGGGTGTCAGGGAGACCCTGCCATCCTCAACATGTGGCTTCCTTTTCTTTCTCCAGGGCAGCTGATCCATGATCTTCCACTTCCCAGCCAGAAGGAGGATGGAAAAGCAGAAGGGAGGGGGAGACAACCTCCTTTGCAGGGCGTGACTCAGAAGTTGTACACATCATTTCCAGTCACATTCCATGGACCAGAATTAGCCCTGTGACCAACTGTGGCTGCCAGAAAGTCTCTGCTTGGGCGATCAGGCAGGCAGTTACATCTTTGGGAACATCTCTCACCCCCTGGGAACACCTGGGCAGAAACTGAAGGGCATTTAACACATTCTCCTTTGTGTCTAATAAGAATTGTCCCCATCAGTCGGAGCTCTCCTATGTGCTGGGTACATAGGTCATCTTTACACAACCCAGCAATGGAGAGCACACCATTCCCAGACTGCAGATGCAGAAACTGTGGCTCAGAGAGTTAAGCGACTTGTTCAGATTCAGTCAGCTGGTAGATGGTAGGTCTGGGATTGAGACCCAGGCCTGGCTGGTCCTGCCAGGACACAGTATTACAGCTTTGATTGGGGGCGTCTTTTTGTTTACATGTATTTTTTTATGCTCAATGTACATTACTTTTGAAATACACAGAAAAGGGGAAGAAACCGGAGTCCTGCCTTGTGTAGGAGGGATAAGTTAGAGGTGTACACTGGGATAAGTCTCCCTCCCGCCCTGGCCCTGGCCCTGGCCCTGCACCTGCCGCTGCTCCTGGTTCTGGTCCTTGGCCTGGGCGGCGATTCCCGGCGCTGCCTGAGCGTCGCCGGCCACCAGGGGGCGCTGCCGGGCTACCGGTCCGGTCGACCCGGGATCACAGCCTCAGGGGACAGGAAATGATCAACAGCATCTCCTCTCCGATCCAGGTGGCCTCAAGGAATCTCCGGGGGACAGGACAGGTGCTGAGCCGGGTGCAAAGGTGGAATTCTATCCCCAAAGCACATCCTGCACCCCTTTCCTCTGCAAAGTCCCGGAACCGCGTGACTCCGGATGAGTCCGTGGGGCTGGAACCCAGGGTTCAGCCCCCTGCGCCTCTGTGTGTCCTGGTCCCTTTCCTCCAAGTAGACAGGAGGCATCTCCTCATCGGCTCAGTTCACATTCCTCCAGGGCTCAGAGAGAACCCAGTCCCTGTCTCGGGACACCAAGTCAGGGCAGACTGCAGGAAAGAGCAAGGAAGATGATTCCTGCGCTCAGGTAGGGAGGGGCTCGCCTCTAAGAAGAGAGAAATGAGGGGTGTACAACGTGAGAGTGGAAATGCTCAGAAATAGTCAATGACCTGGGCAGCTGAGCTTTCGTCCACGCCCTGGCACAGTGTGTGTTGCACAACAGAGGTGTTCAGTGAATGTTTTTCATTCAATCAACAAACATCTCGAGTGCCTCCGTGTGCAGGTCCTGGGCTAGGCTCTGGGGATGAAGTCCCTGCCCCCTGGAGCTTATATGCCGGTAGGAGAGAAAGAGTAAACAAGGTCGGCCACTACTATAACCTCACATAGTGCTGAACTCTAGAGGAAGTTAAAGCAAGATAAGGGCTCCCAATCCAGGGCTTATATTCCTCCCACCCCCCCACCCCCGGTCCAGCCCGGCAGTGATGCAGGCGGAAGGGGGCAGGGGTGTGGGGGGTGGAGAGGGCAGGGAAGCCACCCCCATCCTCTGGGCACAGCCAACAACCCCCAGTTTTATACAGGAGAGGGTTCTTGGGGAAAACGTCATTCCAGGAGCCCTCAAAGTGATGGGATCCACTGACTGGAAAGAGAAAAAGTCCAAAAAGGAGGAATTCAAGCCCCTGAGGCACCTTTGGGTAGAACAAGGCAGGGAAGAGCCTCAGGGTCTCACAGCTTGGAAGCAGGAGGGCAAAGAGGAGGAGATGGAGAACCAGACTCCTCAGAGAATCCCGGAGGGCCTTGAAGGGGCCAGGGGTGGGGAAGTGGGAGGATAATTTTATGCATCAATTTGGCTGGATCATGGTACCCAGATATTTGATCAGCTGTTATTCTAAATGTTTCTTGAAAAATATATATATATTTTTGAGATGCAATCTCTTTCTGTCGCCCAAGCTGGAGTGCAGTGGCACGATCTCGACTCACTGCAAGCTCCGCCTCCCAGGTTCAGGCCATTCTCCTGCCTCAGCCTCCCCAGCAGCTGGGACTACAGGTGCACGCCGCCACACCCAGCTAATTTTTCGTATTTTTAGTAGAGACAGGGTTTCACCATGTTAGCCAGGATGGTCTCGATCTCCTGACCTCGTGATCCGCCTGCCTTGGCCTCCCAAAGTGCTGGGATTACAGGCATGAGCCACCACGCCTGGCCCTGGGAAAGTATTTTTTGATAAGAGTAACATCTGAATCAGTGGATGAGTGCTGAGTAAAGCAGATTCCATCACCAGGCGGGCGGGTCCTGCTCCCTCTGCTGAAGACCTGAAGACCAAGATTAACCCTCACCCTTCACCTCCCACCTCTTCCGCACCTTGGAAGAGAAAAACATTCCTGAGAGGGGGGATTTGTCAGCAGATGGCTTTGGGACTGGAACTGCAGCATCAGCTCTTCCTGGATCCCCAGCCCCCCAGGCCTACCCTGCAGATGTGGGCTTGCCGGTCTCCACAATCAGTGAACCGCTTCCTTAAAATCAACCTCTCTCTCTCCCTCTCTCTCCCTGTTCACATCCCATTGGTTCTGTTTCTCTGGGAAAACCTGACTAATACGGGGACTCTCAGACCCCTGGCTGAGAATGGCAGGCCTGAAGATTCTCGGAGGCATTCAGCATCGAATGGGCACCAGCTGGGCTTGGAGCTGCGTCAGGCACCAGGTACAGGACTCAGCCCTGGAACCGACTGTGGGCCCACACGGTGTGGGCCTTTGTCCCTGTCATGGCTTTGGACAGATGTGTGGCCCAGAGGGGACAACGGATCTGGGTGGCAAGGTGGCAAAGCTCGCCCCAGTATTCCTCTTGGTGAGAGCAGTCCCTTAAGGGGTCACCTGAGTCATGGGACCCACAGGTGTGGACCTTTCGCCTCCTTCCTTCCCTCTCCCCCAGTGACTTTATCCAGCAGCTGCCCTGCCCAGCCTTGCACAGGCTACCTTGTGACCCACTCACGGGGAGATAGTGGAGCTTCTTTCTGCCCTCAGGAGCCTTGTTCTCAGGGCAGCTCATCCAAGAGAGTGACATATAGTAGATTGCCACACACATGCCTGGTGCTTAGAAAAGCCGCTTATAAAATCCAGAGGTGAAGGAAGAAAAGATTGAAATCTCTTTGACGAATACATATCCCTCCCTTCCTCCCTCCCTTCCTCTCCAAAGTAGACCTGCCCCAGGGCCAGGAATCCCCTCCCTACAAGGCTAGGTAACAAGTGGATTTTTGCTTTTGAGCTTCAAAGTCTTGGCTTCTGGTGGTTTATAGGTGGTCTTTGAGGGTGATTTTGACTGGAGGCTTGTTAGCTTCTCTATGCTTTTGAAACGCCCACTCTTCCCACAAGAATCTGGGACTTTGCAGGACTGGTCCAAGGTGAGTGCAGGATTAATTGCCAAATGAATTTTCTCTTAAGCCTGGGGTCCAAAGTACAATGGACAGCCAGCGAACACTTATGAGGGGTTTGAACAAGTGAAATCAAGGCCCAAGGTCATAGGACCCAATGGAGAGTGAGGCAGCTGGGGTCTGAGATGACCAGCATGGGCCTCAAAGCAGGGGGCTTGGAAATAGGCCCTGAAGAGGGGGTCGCTTGCGTGGCTAGGAAGGGGTTGGGGCCCACTAGCATTTCCCAGAATGCCTATTTTCTTCAGCAGTGAGAGCCGGAGGGAGGGATGGGTTTCTCAGCACAGTTCCAGTATGAGTGGCCCTCACCACAGGGCGCCATTGCCAAGTCAGAAAGAAACCAAGCTTAACCGCTGCCTCCTGTCCCCATGGTCTGTGAAAGTCTCATACTGTAGTGTGTTGAATGGTAGCCCCCCAAAAGATACATCCACATTATAATTCCTGGGACCAAGAAGTGTGACCTTATTTGGAAAAAAGGTCTTTGCAAACGTAAGTGACCTTATTTGGAAAAAGGGTCTTTGCAAATGTAATTTACAACACTGAATGAGTACCTGTTGAGTGTGGAGCTCCCTATGTTGCCCAGGCTGGTCTTAAGGATTGTGTGTGTGTGTGTGTGTGTGTGAGATAGGGTCTCACTGTGTCATCCAGGCTGGAAGGCAGTGGCATGATAACGGCTCACTGCAGCCTCAACCTCCCAGGCTCAAGCGATCCTCTGGCCTCAGCCTCCCGAGTAGCTGGGACTAGGGTTGCACACCACCACTCCTGGTTAATTTTTTGTGTATATCTTTTGTAGAGACGAGGTCTCCCTAAGTTGCCCACGCTGGTCTTGAACTCCTGGGCTCAAGTGACCCACCTGCCTCGGTCTCTCGAAATGCTGAGATTACAGGCGTGAGCCACTGTGCCTGGCTCAAGTTAATGATCTTGAGATGAAATGACTCCTGGGATCATTATCTTGGGATCATTATCTGGGATGGGTTGTAAATCCCAGGATGAATGTCCTTATATGAGACGTGCAGAGGAGAGACCCAGAGATAGAAGAGGAGGCCACGTGAAGACAGAGGCAGCGACTTGTGTGTTGCAGCCACAAGCCAGGATGGCCTGGAAGAGGCAGGAACGGACTCTTCTTAGAACCTCCAGAGGGAGTGTGGCCCTGCTGACACCTTGATCTTGGACCCCTGGCCCATTAGAGCTGTGAGAGAGTAAGTTTCTGCTGTTTGAGGTCATCTGCTGCAGGAGCCCCCAGGAACAAATACACATCCCAATCCCATTTTTAATTCCCGAGGGTTTCACCCCGGGGACACTTCCTCCACATGTGCCCTGTTGTGCTCCGTTTTGCCCTGTGTTCATCTGCGAGTGGTATTCCATCCTGTTGATACGTTCCACATGGAATATACTTGTACCAAAAATGTCTTGTTTTTAGGAGACTGTGGGGGATGGGAATTGGGGGAAGGTTTCCATTTTCCGGGGCAAATATAGCTGTTCCTCAGTGTCCTAAAGGAATTGGTTCCAGGACTCCTGGAGGTACCAAAATTCAAGGATGCCCAAGTCTCTGATATAAAATGGCATAGTATTTGTAAATAACCTATGCACATTCTCCTGTATACTTTAAATCATCTCTAGATTATTTGTAATACCTAATGCAAGTGCAGTGTAAATAGTTATTGTACTGTGTTAGTTTTAAAATTTGTGTTATTTATTATTATTATTATTTTGAGAGAGAGTCTCGGTCTGTCGCCAGGCTGGAGTGCAGTGTTGTGATTTTGGCTCACTGCACCCTCCGTCTCCCAGGTTCAAGCAATTCTCCTTCCTCAGCCTCCCAAGTAGCTGGGACTACAGGCGTGCGCCACCACGCCCAGCTAATTTTTGTATTTTTAGTAGAGATGGGGTTTCACCATGTTGGACAGGATGGTCTCGATCTCTTGACCTCATGATCTTCCCACCTCAGCCTCCCAAAGTGCTGGGATTACAGACATGAGCCACCATGCCTGGGCTATTGTTTCTATTATTTAAAAAAAAATTGAGAGATGAGGTCTCAGTCTGTTGCCCATGCTGGAGTGCAGTGGCATGATTATGGCTCACTGCAGC